TTCCTCGTCTTGACGAAGTGGCATTCTCAGCAGAGCTCATGGCTCTTTGGCCAGGGACAGCGGTCGTTGAAGATCGCCTTGAGCTTTTGTCAATAATCGAAGAGGATCTTCGTGATTCAGCTGTCGCAGCTTGAATGGAGCGGATGGAGCCTGTCGATCCTCGCCGAGCCGCTTCTTCGGGTGAAATGGTCTTAATGGCACTCAGAGGTATCTTTATAGCGGGCTTGCTAGGCCCTCCAGACAAAGGGCTTGGGCTCGGATCGACGGTGAAACCAGATGACAGGTAACCAAGATTCATACTCTTGCTTTTCCTTTTTCTCTGTCGTTCTTCATCGATCTTGCTCTCCCAAACACCCTTATTGATCAGGATCTCGTCGACAGCAAAGCGCATCGCCGGTAAGATGTCCGTGACGGCTTCGAAGAGCGGCCGGGCGAAGATGTTCATGAAACCGATCTGGGATTCGCCAAGTTTGATGACGTCTTCCCGAACAGGTGGGCCACCAAACAGACATGATGGCATAGCCAGCTCCTCTTCCATGAGTCCTTGGTTGCTAAATTCGTCCGTCAGGATGTTGGCCCACCTGGCAGCGGTGTCAAATTTGCGAGCCTAAAGTATGTCAGCTTGCAGTGCGCCAGAAAGACAAGAACTCAAAACATACCACATTGCAGATATCTGCGCACTTGATGAGCAGTCCACAAGTCAGGTCCTTTTGTTCTTCCTGTACTTTGGCACTCCATCCGTCGACCACGCCCTTGTCATGCGCAACCTTCTGCTGCAGGTTACCCAGGTCGCTCATGTACTTGAAATGGAGGCCCATGTCTGTCGCAAGTATATTGTTGATCATGAGCTTGCGCATCGCAGCATCATTGAATGCGCTCGGCCAATAACGGCGTAATATTTGGGAGTAAGCAGCGCAGTGGAATGATTCTAGGACGGATCGATCGTTATACAATTGCGCTAGCGGTGCGTTCAATGCGACTAGAAAAGCGTTGTTGACTCCTGGATGGCCAACATCATGTCCAATGGCGGATATCAGAAGGGTAAGCGCGTCAAAGGGCTTGAGGAGCTCAGCGATTGGCGATTTCGGGGTGGACGTGTTGGACGAATCCGAAGGATAAGGAGGCAGGGTGCCGATTCGGACGAGGAAGTGGAAGAGAGCCTGGAGCACGTCGACAACGTGACGGAAGTTGTGGTACTTGACGAACTCGTTGTAGGCAGTACGGCTGGCCAAGAGAAAGACGATCATCTCGTCTAGGAATCGGTCAGCAAGTAGCAGGTTTCAGGCATAAGCCGCACTTGCCTTCGGTTATCGCCCATCTTTCTAATTCGGGCATTTGTAGTGCATGCTTGAGCATGACGAAAGCGCCATAGAGAAGCTCGTCATCGGTGTAGTCGTGCGCGGAGAAGGCCCAAGTACCGATGGCAGCTTCAACGACGATTTGGCGATCTACGTCGAGATGGAAATCCCTACTCAAGTCAGTGGCGAGTCGCATAGTCACCGTTTGTACATACGTAGATTCCAGCGAGTCGCCTACTGTCTCTGGATTACAGATGCCAGTCATGAGATTCGACACCATCGCCTCGCGCAGATATGCGTAAGGTTTTGTGTCGTCTACTCCGACCCAAGACAGCTTCCGATTACGCTTAGTAGTCAGAAAGCTTGCTTCTTCTCGAGAGAACTCCTTCTGTAACCGATAGGCATGGACGGCTAAGCCAAGCATGCGGTCTCTGGACATCGGACTCGTCAGGACGTCGACAGCGCCAGCATCCAGGTATCGCGTCAACCGAACAGTGTCGCCAAGCGAGAAAGACACTTGTAGGCCTGGAGACGGCAGCGGACCAGCTGAGGACGGCTCTTCGGTGCCTAGACCCGACAACATGACCACAGGTACGACGAGTTTGGAGAAGTTTCGCGACGAGATCTCGGAGGATATGTGGGTGAGGAGGTGCATGGCGTATATATCGTCGGGTTCGCTCGTATCTAAACGTGTGAGGCGCGAGGATGTAGGCGAGGGCGTGCGCGGTTCGCGAGAAAGGCGCTTCATGCGCTGCTCTTCATCGTATGGGATGTCTATTATGACGAACGTAGGAATGCTGGATTTGGTGGACTCGATGAGCTGGGTGATCTTCTGTAGGCAGGCCCTGCCGGTGCTGCAGATGTGTACTACGAAGTGTGTTAGTAGAGGCGTGGGCGCGGGAAGAGGACGGACTACCTTCGTTAGAAATGGACAGCATCGCCTCGACATTGTCGTGCACTTCGCGCGGCGACGTCTTGCCGATAGCAAAGTAGCTCTGTCCTACATTGCCAGTCGTGGTTCGCGCGACGAGCGACTTGGACAGCGTCTCCTTCCGCACGTGCTCGTCATTGGCCCGCCGGTCAATGTATACAACATTGCACGCGCCATGTTCCATTGTCTCCGCCTATGTGCGGCGACCAGACAGCACTGGTCTCCAGCGCAGAGGGGAGGTTGTTGGGGAGGTGTCGCAAAATGGGAGAACGGGTGGTCGCAGAGAGACGTCTGAACGGGTCGGACAGCGTCACGGGAAGGTGCGAGGCGGAAGCGTGGTGGATGGGGTGCAGCCGAGGGCCAATTGGCGGTCGTGAGCGCAGTGGCAGTGGACACAGGAGAGCAGCGGACAAAGTCGAGCGTCCAGAAGCGTGGGGGAGCGCAGAGATGGGACGGCGGGAGTGCGCCGGTTGGTCTGAGATGCACTCTGAAACGACGACGTCGGTGGAAGCCCCAGGGAACCCGGCGAGGCGGCGAGCGGCAGCCAGTGCACACGACACTAGAGTGCAGTGTTTATTGTATACGAGGAAAGCGCAACGGGTGGATGCGACGAGGAAGGCGGGAAGCGACGTGGGAGGGCAGGCGCGACGGCGGGCGGGTGCTGGGCGCGGCTGCCTCTTGGTGTCTCTCACTCGGCGCGCGCGCAACGGGACGTGTCGAGACTCGAGCAGCGCAGGCGGCGTCCTCAGGCGATGGCTCGCAGCGTGTTTGGGGAGCGTCTTGAGCGTCTTCAGGGCGCGGGTGAGGGTTGTAGATGCATGCAGGGGCTCTAGCGGTCCTCGGTGTGTCGCATGAGCGGCACTGCTATGGGCTGCACGCTGAGCAGCATCGGGCGCACACGGTCGAGGGCAGTGAGGGCGTGGACGAGACGGGCAGAAGTCGGCTATAGGAATCGAGCGTGGTGTGGTGGAGGAGAGCAGCGGGCCTGGTCTGGCTGATTGGATCTGGGATACTCGACAAAAAGAGGCAGGCGCACTGGTGGATCCAGCCTATCCATCCACGAACCGCCCGGCTCGAAGCCCCCAAGCCTTCTGGAAGCTTTCGCGCCGTCACAGCCAAATGCTATACGAGCGCTCCGCTGCGTCAACGTCAGCCCTGCACCTGCGCTTGGCCTAGGGCGCGCTTTCATTTGCCTCCCAACGTGATCAAAGTGCCAACGTCGCCGCGCCCGCCCACTAGCTGTCGCTGCGTGAAGTGCGAACCCAGAGAGCCAAGCTCACTCTGAAACGCTTCCCCAGGGGCGGCCCAGTTCCCGCCTGCGCTGCACTGATTACATACAGCACGCCCGCCCCAGCCAACTCAACCTGCTACTCGCTGTGCGCTGGCATCGCACGCCCGTCTCAATGGCTGCAGCATGCATCGCACGCACCCCGCTGTTGCCACACAGCGTCGTCATCTGCCCGAGCAACCCCATCACGGCCCCATGCAGAAATATTCTGGAAACCGAAAGTGGCGACTCACTGTCACGCCCTGCTGCTACTTGCCGATGCCTCGGGCACGCTATCCACGTAAGCAGCCTGGTCCGTGACCACCTCGCAGCCTTGCTCGCTCCATACACTGGATTCAGCAAGGAGCTGCCTTGACCCTGCCGAACAAACACATGATAAGGCCGTGAGGCTGCTGATCTAATTCTTGGTCAGCGGAATCCGGGGTCGTCGCCCACACGGCAGTGGCCTGCAAGTACATGACAAGTACTGACAAGCTCTGCCTGCACGACTCAGTCCGATCCCGGCGCAACTCTGATAGGCAGCTAACCTCCACAAATAGGACGGTTCTTTATAGGCTGCGGGCGTGCAGACGACTGCAAGCGGCGCCTTCGTCTGTGTTGGTACATCGCACGACCCTGCAAATACACGGCACGCATAGTACTACAAAGACCGTTCGCCATTGAGATCCACCAACGGCCCTTTAAGCCACAGACTACGGTCGACTATGTTTGAGATAGGAGAACCAACCCATTCAGCTGACATGCCACCAGGCGCCGGTTGCGCGTTGGACATGTTGACGTCCAATCGAACAATTCTGAGTCAGTTACATGTACCAAACACATGGTTCACTATCTCTGCCATGGCGCCGTCTATCTCGTCTACATCTTACACTGCACTCATACAGAGGTAAGGTGTGAATTGCGATCGCCACAGGTGCATCGTGAAGCTCCCAGCTTCCTTCCCACATAGGCTCACCAAATAGGAATCTACCTGGGCATGGCTTTCGTGGTGACTGCATGATGCCATGAGTATGTCCTTTTGCTCACTTATCACGTGGGTCAAGACCATATGTCTAGATAGCAATTCTCTCAGTGCCGAAAGACGTCTTCAAATCCATGCCAACAGTCGGGCTGATACTCGGAACTCGCGATTCTAGTAATTGAAGGACTCTTTAATGTTGGGCTGCCGAATGTCGAGACACCAAGACATTCTCGATCCTGAACTACCTCTTATCTTCGCATAGCAATCGACATTCATTGCATTCGGAACGACTCTGGTGCCATTGTCACAGATAGGGAGGCGCAGCTATGTTGACCTCTCTGTTCGGGCCGCAGTTCGTCCGGCGTTCATGTGGGGAGCACTGGATTGCCGACATGTTCGGACTCCTGTGTGTCTTACCTCAGCGGGCACGTTTGGATGCTGGAAGTACTGCAACGTCGGTGGGATCAGAAAATGAGTTCGACTGGCTTCATCCATGGTAGATCATATTTCTCATTCCACACATTATATCGTGGCGGCGCTAACAACATACTCATAATCCTTCCTCAGCGGCACGATAACACCCTGATAGAACCTTTCCCTGAAGTCATCATTATCGAGACTAAACACCGAGGCCTCGAAATTGCAATGTATACACCTCTGCGTCGCATCCGCATAGTTCGGCAGTTCCCGCGTACGCAATCCCTCCGCCAACCGAATTGCTATGAGATAGTCGGTGAATGCTGTACGGCTACCTGTTGCGTCGTCGAGATCCTCCTTGGTTACAAAGGTTTGCAGTGACTTACCGTACGAGATCTCTAGCAATGCGACGCCGAGAGCGAAGATGATGCTGTTCTTTATTATACGCATGCGTTGGCTGTGGGCTGGTGGTGCTGTCGCGGCGGGGAAGTCTCGGGATATGTATGGTTGATCGGATAGTACGGATTGGCTCAGGATGCAGATGTCGTTCAGGTCCCAAGTTTCTTCTAGCCACGGTGTGTTGTAGAGCTGGTAGACAGCGGAGGCGAGTGTAAGAGCTAGGGTACACTTTTCCTTGATCTGGAAGCTCTGACTTTGCTTCTCAAGTAGCTGTTGCAGGCTCACGCGTTTGTCAGTGGTGCTAGCGTTTGGTAGTCGGAGAGTGTGGATGTGGTGTCTGGCCAGCTTGCTACTCATGACTCCCATGCAATGTGGGCTTGGGCAGTGTTGCAGTGTTGCGCAGAGATCGACGATATCTGGAGCCTTTTGAAGGCATTTCCAGTGGTCGTGTATTTTTGTGTTCGAGTGGACGACGATGCTGGGAAGCAATGAGGTGTTGCTTGGGGTTGTCGGGTCAATTACATCGATAGCCTCAATTTCTACCGGTATCGGCTTCCAGGAATTGACATGGCTAGCATGCGGTGATGCGAAGGTGAATACAAGCTTGAAGCTGGAAGGGCTGCCTGTTTCATCGTCTCTCTGTATGTCAAGCCGCAAATTTGCCTGATGTGTACATTGGCATTTACATCTCGATGCCCACCGCGTGTTGAAAGCGTCGTATAGCTTCTCTGCCTGTTGGCGAAACTTCAGAAGATACTCGGTGTTGGCTTTGCGTCTTCTTTGAAGTCGTAGTGGCTCCAGCGCAATTGCTCCTGCAGTGAGGCTGGAAATGCGGCCGATGTCCTCTTCGATGGACGATAGCAGTTGCTTGTAGTGCTTCGTCTTGAGGCCTCCTTTTATACGTATCCAAGGATCGTTGAAGAATTTGTTCCGTGCTGCTGCATCGATATTTCCCGTTGGTGTAGTCCAAGGTGGCTGCTGCATCTTAGCAAGTGCTCCCATCTTTCCAGGATTTACCCACCTGAAAGTCATCGCATAGTTGCAATTTCCGCGCAAAGAGATTGATCTTCTTGTTTAGCTGCTTGACTGAGGACTTGAATGGCAAGTAATTGTTTCCCAATCGATTGCGCAGAGCGTCGTTGAGGTCAGCATCCTCCCATGACGAGCTGTCATGGTCTTCGAGTAGCTGACACACTTGAGCATCTGAAAGAGCTAATGGACCCAGAAGCTCTTCACATGAGTTCCTGTATATGCAAGCGTTTGTTACAAAAGAAGCATGAAGACACTCAAATGCTTCCTCGTACTTTTGCATACTTTTGATTGTTGAAAGCTGCAATGCGTCAGTCACGGTCTGCTGACTTCTCTACCTGGGTAATTTCATGTCATACCCCTTCAGCATAGTGCTCCAGAGCCACTATCACCAACGGCAGCGATCCCAAAACTACCCCAGCTACTTCGAACCCAGACATAGTTAGGAAGTTGCGACGGCGCTAGTGGGGTGAGCTGGCTGGTTTGGTGAAAGGACGGCAAGATAGTAAATGTTGTGGATGGAGACGGAGTAACGCAACAATGCCAGTAAGTGACGGATGCGTCATATCGTTGGAAGAAGCTGCGTAGAGAAGGCTGTGATGAGGGTGCGGGCACGACGACCTCAGGATACTCAGCCTTGCGACTAGGCTCGAAGAGCTCTAGTCCCAAGGTCGTCAGCTGAACCACGTGGTGTCATGAATAACCTCGCGATCTTGGAATCTCAGCCTTCTAATGGTATCATCAACATCAACTCTTATCTTAATCGGAGAGATGTCACCACGCAAAGATGCATGAATCCATCGCCCAAATTCACACTCATTGTGTCTGCATCTTCCTTGCCTTTATCGACGCACTGAGCTCCTCTTATCGCTGGGACGATCAAGCTGTAGCACAAAATGCCTTCGATAGGTATAGGCTTTGGGCTGGCAACGTGGGCGCCATGCACAGCGGTACTAGGTACAAGTCGTCTCTAGACTATAGGCTGAGAGAGGCTTCTTTCTATAAAGATCAGGTATCTCGCTTTTATCCCAACTGTACATACTGGGACTTACGCAAAGCTTAGGTACTGAGGTTGATGCACGATTTGCGTAGCTGTGTAAGATACTTTGCCCTTTCCACTGTCACTCGTCATAGTCAATCTTGTCATGAACTAGGAACAAGGGCTAATCGAAAGCTCACGCATTAGTTGGATAAAGGTACATAATTGCATTGTGTCGATGTCTAAAAGACTGCTAATGGAGGCGTTGCTCAGCATCGAAAGCCGCTCGGATCAGGAACACGAAGGCTTATGATCGCATAATAGAGAAATCCGAGCCTTCAGACACAGACGAAGATGAATCCGACTCCTCTGGTTCACCGTGGGAGGTCTCTTCCGACTCCGAAGTGGAATATCCAAGCAAAGGGAAGCTGCCTCGAAAGAATCCAAATCCGTCAGTCCCTGAACCAGCGAAGCCGACGCTAGTAGATCCTATCAATTTCATCATTGACTGTCTTTGGAGGCTACCCATCCGCAGTCCTGCCCCCATTGATCGCATGAAGAAGAAGTATATTGCGGAATCGACTGCCTACTTACCCTTTGACATCATGCATGTTAGGGATAAGTTCCCCGACCTCAACGAGATCGTTACCACTCGTTTAGCGAAGATGATATCGAGAAGAAGGCAACTAATAAAGTACCGCAAGGATCACACTGATGCCTTGAAAGAGAAAGAGGTGGCGGTGGTTGAAACGTCTCAGTTTGAGCATGGTCATCTATCCAGACCTATTGAAGGAGATATACTCAGCGAATCGGCACCCAGTTCTAAGGGCCCAAGTCAGCGTACAGAACTTACGAAAGCGACGACACTGAAGATCAACACTCCGATGGTACCGACTTCTCCGCTAGCGATCGGGCTCTACACGCCTTCAGTGTCCGACTTTGCGTCCTCCACGGCATCCGAGCAAACCGCGAATGCGATAACAATCAGACTTCCGAATCGACCCAGGACCAATGAAGGGCGGCTGTTGGACAATTTTATATGTCCATACTGCTCAACTGCTCAGATTGTCACGTCAGAGCGCCGATGGAAGTGAGTCATCTCAGGAAACTACCGCCGATTACTTGGCTGACATCTGCGCACAAGGAAGCATGTCTTGTCTGACCTTCAGCCCTACATCTGTACCTACTCAGATTGCCAATTACACGAGTGCCTCTTCGAGAATATTGACGATTGGTTTAATCATGAATTCAGGACCCATCGCGTGGAATGGTTCTGCAACACAGAGTCTCACCAGTCTTTTGTCAACATGAAAGACTTCCTGTATCATATGCGCACCGTTCATTTCGAGCCTCTCGAAGAGGCACAGCTTCTGAGCTTGCATCGGGGATTGCAGCGCCCATCCACCGCTTCTTGGGGGACTTGCACGTTATGTGGTCAGCATGCAGATAGATTGAGGTCTCATCTCGCACGCCATCTTGAGCAACTCGCATTGTTTGCGATACCTCAAACGGACTATATGGCTACTGTGGAACAGAACGATACATCTTCTAACGCCGCGCGGCAAGGTGTACCGGCACTCTCTAGCCTAGGCTCAACAAGGATAGCTTTGGATCCCTCAGATCATGACTATGGCTCGGAAGTGTCAGTCACTGGGTCTAGTATATCCCGTCAGGAAACACATCGTTCACGGACCGCAGCGGATGACCAATACGCCGATCAAGACAAGGAGTTGGCATTAGCCACGAGCAGCATGACCCCAGAGGAAGTGGATACTTCGTGGGATCAGATCACTTCTAAATTCAAAGATGCCCGAGTTGGAATATCCAACGAACAAACAACAGAGTTCTATGAGCATCAGCCAACGATCACAGACGAGGCTCTCCGTAGAAAACCTATGGTTGCAAGGCTGGATGAGCAGAGGTTTTCGCCGGAGGGATCCCTTGAGCCCAGTCTCAACCACCGTGAGGCAACCGAGAAGGCACCGCTAACCACAAGTTACCCACCTTCCCGAGCTACAATGCATTTGCCCTCGACTGTACACAATACCGTTCCTTACGTAGAACCTGCTACTCCGCCGAGGCCCCCTCCATCGCTTCGAGAGCGAGTTAGCCGCATCACCTCAAATATCTTCTCCGCTTCCCGCAGCCAGAAAGAGCCGGACCGCAAAGTATCATCAAGACGTACGAGGCCTGCAGTACGTAACAGTGAATGGAAGTCCCACAGGATTCCAGAGGTACCAGGAGAAAGGCTACGGAATCCAGGTTTCGAACAAATGTCGTCACAACGGCGTCTCCGCAGACCGTCAGGAGAGGCAGTTGATTCTGATACAGGCTCAATGTCAGCCTGGAGGGCCACTCAGGCGCGTTTGGCACATGTACCGTCCTTGCGTAATTCCAGTGCGCCGCCTGATTCTCCAGATCTCATCCAGCCTGGACCATCTGAGCCTGACCATCCCAGGGACAGCGTCAACGCCAAAGAAAGGCGGACATGGCGACAGAGGCTTTCCAAGGCGATTGGAATCAGGCCCAAATCCCCTGAAATCTACCCTCGTGTAGCATACCTTTACGACCCTGAAGACGATCTTCAACACCGAAATTGATACTGGGTCCCTCGAATTTTCTTCAATTTCCAGAAGGCGAGAGGGTTAACAGGAGTCGGAGCATTGATGCAATGAAAAGCAGCAAGCCTGAAAGAACTACCGGAGTGGGATTGTCAACTCTATGGAAAGCAGCCAGCCTGAGAAAGGACGAACCTGGCGACAAAAATTGACTAATGCTACCGAGAGCGGAAACAAGTCTACCAGTCCAGGTTCTGCAAAGGATTTCATGCCGGCACAGAAGATCCTTTGGGCTTGGAGGGCCCAAGCAACGGAGGAAGAGGTGCGACGTCATGCCGACCATAGCCTCAAACAGTATAGGTATCGAACCTTACTGCTCCATATCGCAGGAACGCGATGAATGAGATGCGAAGCTGACGAAGTGAGAATTTGGACTTGAGCAGAAGCCACATAACCGATCAAAGGAGGCACTGGGACCAGGAAAGCATTGTCTTTATCTCTTGATATAGTATACACTACAATCATACAGTAATATACAATGCACCCCAAGCATTAGTCACAACTATACCCCACCCTGCTGCGAAACAACACCCTTACACCTCCCACAAATCTCCTCCTTCTCCTCCTTGACAAAGCGCCAACACCTCGGGCACTTCTGCCCACTAGGCGGGTGCACCAGCACCTTCGCTTTCCCCAACACCCCCGCATCACTCGAAAGCGCTTCCTCCTCCCACCACTGCGACCGCTGCTTCAACGTATCAGAATCCTCCGCCGTGAACACATTGTTCGCAAAAAACGACCCTGTTGGTGTCCAAAATCGAAGATCGCTGATAACAAAGAGGCCAGCGAGCTGAGTTTCGAGATCCGTTGGCGTGAGGAATGTAGGCTGCATACATTTCGTGAACTCAGCGTAGAAAATCTCCGCGTTGGTCGACTTTGGTAGGTAAACCGTCGCTGCGCTCTCGAGACTTGAACCGATCTTCTTCTCGGCACGGAGACGCTCTTGTGCGATCTTGATGGCTGCGCCCAGCGTGCTAGTTGTCTCGCTCATGGCCTCCAGACTAGCAGATTCAAACGCCGCGAGCGCGGGGAGAGGCGACCAAACCGCGCGTGCGGGATGAACACTCTTCTCCTTGAGCTCCGCAGGGACATAATCCCAGACCTCTTCAACAAGCAGCGGACAGACTGGAGCAAGCATTTGCAACAGCTCGTAGAAGATGAGTCCCAAAACGCGCTGAAGTGTCTCGCAGTCCTTTGTGTCGCCAGTGTACACCCGGTCTTTGAGTGTTTCGAAGTAGAAAGCGCTCAGATCCATGGAAATGTACTTGTTGATCGCGTTGACACCTTTGAAGAACTCGTATCTGCCAAAGTGATTGTGTACTTCTGCACTGACTTGTACCAGTCGGTGAACGGCAAGGCGGTCAGTGAGTTCGCTGAATTCGGCGATGGAGGGTGTGAGTTCGTTGAAAGAGGCGAAGGGTGGTGGGCACGATGGAAGCGAGAAGATGCCTAGCAGCCATTTGAAGGTGACGCGGTACTTGTGGAGAGCTTGGTTTACGGACATTAGGACGGGCTGCCCGATCGTGACGTCGCGCATGTAGTCGCTGCTTGCGGCCCAGAGGCGAAGAGCATCGGCGCCCATGGCATCGTATGTTGGTGTGTGCTTAGTTGCTGGGTCTTGCTTGACGCCTTTTTGCTTCTTTCGTTTCACGGGTGGGAGGAGTTCGCCGGACATGATTTGGGATGGGGAAATAACGTTGCCGAGAGATTTGCTCATCTTGCGGCCGTCGGAGTCGAGCGTGAAGCCATGGGTGATCAGAGTCTTGTATGGTGCTTTGACGGTCTCTGTAGAGTAAGGCTGGGTTGCGACGTGGGTAAGGAGTGATGACTGGAACCAGCCGCGGTGTTGGTCAGTGCCTTCAAGGTATACATCAGCAACAGGCTTGTCTTTTTGCTGCGGAAGGAGCTTCCAACTGGTGCCACTATCGAACCAGACGTCCATGGTATCTCTACCGCGTACGTATGTTCCGGTGAGATGCTTCGGCTTCCAAGCTGGATCGTCCTGCGAGTCCGTCCACCAGGCGTTGATGCCACGTTCTTTGATTACCTCGATGATATGGTCGATGGTCTCAGAGTCCATGCTCGCTGTTAGTGTGTCGCCCTCGACCTTGTACAGGGCGGGGATAGGGACACCCCAAGCACGTTGTCGCGAGATACACCATTGGCTGCGTCCCTGAATAAAGCTCTCTAGACGACTTCTACCAGTCTCAGGCATGAAGTTGACGTCGGCAATCGCTTTCATCGACGCGTCCTTGATACCTTCTACGTTGGCGAACCACTGTTCAGTAGCACGCGTGATGACAGGTTCCTTCGTTCTCCAGTCGATGGGATATTTGTGGCGGTAGTTTTGCTTGCCCCGAAGCATGTCCAGCGTCTGGAGATGGTTGCATACAGCATTGCTACCCGACTTCTTGATATCAGCGACAGGTAGACCTTCCAGAAGCTCGGGTTGTTCCGGAAACGCGTCCTTGGTGAAAGCACCAGCATCATCTATGGGCGCAAAAGCTGGAACGTTGAGCGCCATGCATACGTTGTAGTCGTCCATACCATGTCCAGGAGCGAGATGGACTAATCCAGTACCTGAGGAGTCGGTGACAAAGTCGGCATGAATTATCGGCTGCAGTCCATTTGCCTTCTGGAACGGATTCTCGTACTGAACTTGACCGGCGAGATCTGCACCACGCACGTCTGCGAGGACTACTTCGAGCTTCCGCTCAAGAATCTTCTCGTACTCCGCTACTCGTGAAGCTGCGACCAGGATCAGTTCGCCGTCCTTCTCAGCATCCTTGACTACGCAGTATTGCATGTCCTTGTGAACCGCGATCGCTTTGTTCGCGGGCAGAGTCCAGGGTGTGGTCGTCCAGATGACTACGCTAACTTCACGGTCTACCTTCTTCAAAGCCCCGTTCTTCAAAGCCTCTGAAAGATGTACTGGGTATCGCACAAAAGCAGCTAAGCTCTTGTGACCCTCATCGTACTCCAGTTCGGCTTCCGCAAGCGCTGTTCTCGAACTCGGGCTCCAGTAGACAGGCTTGAACTGCCTGTAAATCAAGCCCTTCTCAAACATGCTCTTGAACACTTCCAGCTGTCTGATCTCGAAGCCTCGCTCCATGGTCTGATACGCGTTGTCCCAGTCACCCATGACAGCCCATTCCTTGAAGCCGCGCTTCTGTTCTTCAATCGTCCGAGTCGCCAGTTCGCGCGCAGCGTCACGCACGCTTACAGGGTCGGCTTGCGCCGCATCCTTCTTTTGCGCCTGCAGAGCCTTGATCTCAATGGGCAGACCATGGCAGTCCCAGCCAGGTATATATGACACCTTCTTTCCCTGTCCGACCTGGTGTCTGCAGATGATGTCCTTGGTGATCTTATTCAAGGCATGTCCAATGTGCAATGGCCCATTGGCGTATGGCGGTCCATCATGCAAAGTAAATGTCTCTTTTGGCGCATTGCCTTCCGCCTCGCCATTCTGTCCATTCAACCGCTTCTCCAGGTGTCCATAACGTACAACGCGTTCGGGGCTCGCCTGCCACGAATACAGGTCATCGGTGCATCGTCGTAGGTAGGTTGGGTTCGTTGACGCTAATGGTCGCGGCGGAAAGCTAGATTTTGGCAGTCGGAGGGTGTTTGACCATGATGCGCGGAGGATGCGTGTTGGGGTTAGCATAATAGCATCATGGGCGGGCGAATCGGCGGGGAAGTGTTAGAGTTCCAATATTTTTGGATCCATAGATGGGCTCGGTGATGGTTCGGCTGATCCGGTGATAACCCGGAGATAGTCTCGTGTTCAGCCATTGATGCCGTGTTAAGTGTTAACACAACTGTCGAAACGATGGATTCTCGGGGCAATGTATGTGATGAACAGTTGCTACATATAGTTCTAGTACTGAAAACCCTCAGCACATGTGCACTGCCACAACGCGTCCCAGTTCCTCCAGGCACCACCAGCAGCAATCATATCCTATCAATACACAGTCAACGAGCTCACAGCTCCGTTCTTCAGCACCTCAAACACCATGCCCGGAAATCCAAACAGCTCTACGTTTCCGACATCAGCAGCGCCCTCCATCAATACACTGCCGGCATTCGCGAACTTGCTCTTCTTGCCGGAACTCTCTTCCCATCCTCCAAGAAGTTCGCAGCTACTACCAGGGCTGTCGCCCCAGCCTCTGTTCAGGGCCATGCCGCGTTGCTGTAATCTCTCCTGCTCTTCATTGTCGTAGTATGGCTTGAATACTTCCTTCAGCCGACCGGAAATGTCTCCAAAGCCCATCTCCGAACTAAGGGGATCGCGGTACATGGCTGATGGGACGTGCTCGAGCGTCCATCTGCTTCGTCTGTGCCGATTGAATTGGTACGAACCAGGCACGTTACCGTGGAATATGATCTTGATTGCGGTAAGGTGGTTTAGGGGTTGCGCGCTGAGCTCGCCTTGCGCATGTAGTTCCGACTCGTGCCTCTCTGCGGTAGGAGAAGGTGGGGAGATCTGCGTGGGTTGAGAGATAAGAATGTCAAAGCCATGATGGTAGTAATTGTAGAAGTGCTCAGCCGCAGCGACTTCTCGCTCCTGAGCTTCTAGTGCGGCCTCGTCATCATCTTCCCAAGCATCTTCGTCGTCGCTTCTGACGACCGAGCCGTGGTCTGAGTCATCATCTGGAGTGAGACCACCAGGCGAGAGATCTGACGCGTCACTTGTCCTCCGGTCTTTATGTATTGATAGGCGATGATCGTTCTTGCGGTAGATGGAGTCTGGGGCACCAAGCTCCATGATCAAATCCTGTGGCGTTGTCTCGCTGAGGACGATCCAGAATGGAGGACTGGAGCGCCTGACGAGCTCTATCCTACCCTCTCCGTGTACCTTGACCGTCTCGATCTCGTCTGGACCACCATCTTTTGCTTTGCCTAGGGCCAACGACCTCGGATTCGGCGGTATTGCTGTGAACAATGTTCCACGGGCTTTCTGCCATGACTCGCCGTTGAAGACCGCCATGGATGTTGCAGACCCAGTAGCTGACGAGGACAGAAGCGAGATGAAGTCCTTCTTTGGAGAGTAGGCGGAGTGTTGAACTGGGAAGTTGAACGCTATCCCTGGATACGATAGGTTGTATGTGCCGCTCGCATTCGGGTCTTCGGACTTCGGGGGTATGTACTCTCCGCCATAGGTCGGTCCCAGCAGCTTGTCGTAGACATGTCGAAACCTTGGGCCTGATACGCCGCCCGAGAAGCCTCCTTCACCGGGCTTATATACGTCGATGTCCTTGTATACCAACTTGGCCTTTGCGAAATCGAGCACTTCGATGAGGCGCAGGCGCTGGTCGGGGCCGTCGAACTGTAGCCTCAGACCGTTGTCAGGGAGGACGACTTGAACGGGTGATGATATAGGTCGTAGTTCGTCGTGGTAGAGTTGGAAGCGTGGGAAGGCCTTGACTTCGGCTTTGATCGTCGTCAGTACCTCGTGTAGGGAGCAACCGAGGGCTGTGTCTCAGTCAGCTTGGTAACTGGGAAAGACGGTCGCAACGGACTCATGAAGCCTACACTGCGCCCAGGCTGTAGCTGCATGATTCCGTCTTCCATGGTGGGTATATGGTAAGTGTATGAGTGGAGTAAGTTGTCGCAGTGTGTCTGTCAGTCGATGTGTTGCCTAGCTCGTAGATGGCAAGGAGCTCATAGGCGCGTGCTGTGTCCACGAGGACAAGGCGCCGGGTCTATCCGTGCAGCCCGGAACACAAGAATGAAGATCAATGAAGCCGATGTAAAGCGATACAATAATCGATGTTGTGACAACGTTCTAATCAATGAAGTACCGACCGCAACACGATCTCGGTGAATGAGGGGTGGCGGGGCAGACGCGCAGGCAGGTAGTTGGGCTGACGAGGGGCTTCAACGTATGCACGACATGAATGTGAAAGAAAGTCCTCAGAATGTACTGCATAGACTCCACGGAAAAGTTACGAAAGCATAGTGTACACGGGGATATGGATGGAGATGTGCATGCATGCATGCTGCATTGACGTAGCGCGCCGTGTTCGCGATGGCTGATAGCATGTGGTCTGTGCATCCGAGCTAAGCAGGATCCCTGCATGAACGTGTTTACTGACTGTTTACGTTGGTGCAGGTTCCGCAACACCAGACGCATGTCACCCTAACCCGCATATCCACGTCCACCACCCCCCGAACGTCGCCATGTCTGGACTCCCGCGGCCAGGTCCGCCGGTCAAGCGGAATACCACGAGCATGCGACCCCCCACGACGCGCCCGCCCCATCTGGCGCGTGGCCGTTCAGCGACACCCGCCATGGACGGCCGCTCATCGAGAGCAGAATCAGTAGCTTCCTCGGCGCGAGCTCCACGGTCATCGCCCCTCAAGCGCAAGATCGATTTCGAAAGTGAGGGAGGAGAAGAGACAAACATCAACGTTGTCGTCCGGTGTAGAGGGCGCAATGACCGCGAAGTGCGCGAGAACAGCGGCGTCGTCGTGTCGACCAACGGAATCAGGGGCACAGCTGTAGACCTGTCCATGGGCCCGAGTGCGCTGAGCAACAAGACATATCAGTTCGACAAGGTCTTTTCTCCCGCAGCCGACCAGGCCATGATGTACGACGAAGTTGTGGCTCCTATACTGGACGAAGTGAGTTGGAACGGAAGAGAACCACCTTCTTCTGCTAATAAATATATAGGTCGTAGACGGCTTCAACTGCACAATCTTCGCATACGGTCAGACCGGCACAGGAAAGACCTACACCATGACCGGTGACATCTCCAACGTCCTCCCTCTGCCAGACGCCGCTGGTATCATTCCACGCGTGCTTTACGCGCTCTTCCAACGCCTCGAGACCGACGAAATCGAGAACTCGGTCAAATGCTCTTTCATCGAACTTTACAACGAAGAACTTCGCGATTTGCTTTCACCGGATGACGCGACAAAGCTGAAGATCTACGACGATAACAGCAAGAAGGGCTCTACCACGACCATGGTCCAGGGAATGGAGGAGTGCCATCTCAAGACTGCTGCCGAGGGTATCACAATGCTGCGCAACGGCAGCCACAAGCGACAAGTAGCTGCGACCAAGTGCAACGACCTCAGTTCGCGAAGTCATACCGTCTTCACCATTACCGTCTACATCAAGCGAACGACAGAAGATGGCCAGGAATACCTGAGCGCCGGAAAGCTCAACCTCGTCGATCTTGCGGGTAGTGAGAACATTCAGCGCAGTGGTGCTGAAAACAAGCGCGCAGCAGAGGCTGGTCTTATCAACAAGAGTTTGCTAACACTGGGTCGCGTTATCAACGCACTCGTCGAACGCAGCTCACATATCCCGTACCGAGAGTCAAAACTCACCCGCCTGCTGCAAGACTCGTTGGGCGGTAGAACAAAGACGTGCATCATTGCGACCTTGTCGCCAGCGAAGAGCAACCTCGAAGAGACGATATCCACCCTCGACTACGCATTCCGCGCGAAGAACATCCGCAACAAGCCGCAAATGAACCAAGCCATCAACAAGAAGACCCTGCTCAAGGAGTACACAGCCGAAATCGAGAAGCTAAAGAGTGAATTAATAGCGACCCGGCAGCGCAACGGTGTCTATCTTACACAGGAGAATTACGAAGAGATCACCACAGTAAGCGAATCGAGACGAATCCTTAGCGAGGAGCAACGTGACCGGCTCGAAACCATGGAGGTCAACCTGCGCAACAAGGTGGAGGATCTCTTCAAACTTACGACAAACTTCCAAACCTTGAAGAAAGACAACGAACAAACTCAATTAGCTTTGGACGGCACCAAGGGTATCCTAGAGAAGACGGAGATTGTTCTGGAGCACACGCGCCAAAATCTTACTGAAGAGGCGGAATTGCGAAAGGCGCATCAGAAGACTGAGCAAGAGCTCGCAGAGGTTGGGAAAGAGATGATCTCAACACTCGGCAAGACCACATCAGCTATCGACGGTTTACGATCGAAGATTCGACGGAAGTCAGAACTTCAATCGCAGAACCGACGGAATTGGAATTCTTCCCAAACCCAGGTTGTCGATACCACCCGTATGGTCGAGGACCGGATAGAGGAGCTTCAGCAACAGCAAGAACAGTTGATGAACGCGATATCGGAACGTATGCAAGCTTTTGTCAGAGATGAACTTGAGCAGCTTGGCGCCTCGCAGTCTTTCTTGCAGGAAAAGATGGAGGCATACCAGACTTCCGAACAAGAAGTCAACGGACAGACAGCTCAAGCGCGCGACCACATGAATGAAGTTCTGGAGGAGATCAGGAGTCTTCGAGAAGACGTCAAGACGAAGATTGGCGCAGGCCTCGATGAGCTCTCAGGAGCGGCGGAGACAATCTCTGCGAACATCATCACGGAACTCGACGCCTTCCACACGCAAGTCCACGCGTCCTATGCGGGGCTCGGCCGAGACTTCAAGACCACCTTTGACGATCTAGTCAAGGATCTGAACGACCAGCAAATCGAGAACGAGCGACTACACCAACAGGTCGTAGAGGCCAACGCGGCCTTGGTCGAGGCGAACAAGACATCTCAGGGCCAACTTGAGAAGGTCGTGAACGAGGAGAAACACAAGTCTGCCGAAGATCGCCAACAACTGCTCTCACAGCTTACCGCCATCATCAACGCAAACGCCGACGCGCAAGAGAAGAGGTTAGACGAGAAGCTCTCGGCTGTACGGGAGGAGATGAATGCCGCCAACGCTGCGTTCGAGACGAAGCAAGATGCTTATGCTGATGGCGTTATTGCATGGTCAGATAAGTCTAGAGACATCCTGGCGGGTGTGTCCAAGTCACGAGATGCCGTCAAGATCAAGATCAAGTCAGACTTCGCAGCCGCGACCCAGCATTCCACTTCGATCAAGGACACGACTACTTCCGTCCACGAGAGCACTGTCAAGACTGTTGAGGCTCAGATGGCACACCTGGACACTCAGCTTCAATCCTTGGATGACATCGTAGCCCGCATCCGCGAACAGAACAACACCCACCACACCGCCCATACAGCATCGCTGGCCGCTTTGTCGTCAACAGTAGCAGCTTCATACTCTAGCATTGGCGATCATCTATCCACTTCATTCGATCGCGTTCAGTCTCTTGAATCCGACATGTCAGCGCAAGCAAACACGTTGAAGGAGACTTTGCCATCGCTTGCTGCAGATGCAGACATTCGGGCACCGCTACACGAGCTCCGCGAGGTCGTCGGGTCCCAGAATCTAATCGAATACAACCCCACTGGCGAAACACCCCAGCGCGTCTCCTACACCATCCCCTCCACCCTCCCACGCACCGAAGCACACGAGAACATCCTCTCTCGTCTTCGAGACCGCCCCGCACCCGTCGACACCACAACGCGCAGCCCTTCAAAACAACCCATCTTCGACGACGCCACAGGAACGCTCAACCTCTCATCTCCAACCGACATATTCGCCGACACGAGCAAAAAGCCTATTTTTTCGCACTCCATCAGTGCGCACGCCCACACCATCTCGCACCTCCCCACAGGCAACCCTTCCTCCCTGCGGGAGCTAGATGTTAACGTGGTGGCGCAGGAAGCTCATACCCAGCCACTTCCCCATCTCGCATCCCAGTCTTCTTGCGACTCGCTGAGCGGCGGCCCTCCGAATAAGAAGGCGCGAACCAATGGCGATGATACAAGTAAGCTTCCGATGAAGAAGATGACGAGGAAGACGGTTGGCGTTGCTGGCGACCGTGGTGATAGGGAGAATATTACGAATTTCGGTAATAGCGTTGGTCCGGGTCTTGCGGCTGGGCGGAAGTTGAGAAGTCATGGGAGTGGGTAGATGCTGGGATTGTGGTGGTGTATAGTTTTGGCGTTTTACCCCCGAGTTGGACCTTTTTTGCATAGTCACGGCGTTTGATGTGGGCAGTGGCAGCGGTATATCTGTCTTGTCTACTTGTTCTCCTTCTTCTGCTGGCGTTTGGACACTGGGTTCAAAAGGCTGGGCATACATAGGCGTAATGACATTCCGAACTTCTTACCCTCATCACGTTTCCTAGTCACCCTGCGATATATTTGCCAAATGTTTGGATCCGCGCGGGTGAAAACACTCCGGCCCTGTTCGTGACGCAGTCACTATGCCGTGTGCTCACTTTCTGCCCTAATCACTTTGTTTTGCGCTTGAGGTTGAGTTTTTCAATGTCTAGGTATACAAGTTCCCTTATTAACATCCATGTACCTTACAAAGCCAGCCAGACAGCTAGAGATACACTCGCGAAAGCTCCCATTATCGCCCGCGAAGACGAGAATCCATGCACAGCAGCGCCCAGTTCCGAATGCAACCAGCACTTGCGGTCTGATCTCTGGTCGACTGAGGCAAGATTGAAACTATTGAGGGGGTAAGGTGTATTGCCACAATCACCCTCATCAGCACTCCAACAGCTGTACCCAAACCAGTTCAGCAAGTTTTGGTCATCGTTAGGATCGAGTTCAGAGCAGTCCTCCCCTCCGTAGACGGTAGCCATCATATTTGAGAGATGGCCCTCCTTCCATATGTCGTCATAAGCCTGCACTACATGGTGGCGGTATAGGACCCGAGAGTAGTTTGCTGATCTGTCGTACTTGTCGGCGTTGAGAAGCGTCCAGTATATACCCGCTTGTTCGTCACCAAACCTGTTAGAACCGAGGTTCCATGTCTGGTTCACAAAGCCCTGCGTGGCGTTTCCACCAAAGAGGTCTCCAAGACTGAAACAGTGCGGGACGATGGGAATACTACTCGTAGTGAAGGTCAAGGCGTCGCGGGAGTCGTAGTAGTTACACGTGTCGTCGTGGCCATCCTTGAAGAAACGGAGCGTCAGGTTCTGACTATCGAACGGTTAGTTGACTTGTGCCGATACATGGGGAGGGCACAAACTTGTATGGGCTTAATTCTTGCCCATCTGCGTTCTGGGATGCTTGTGCATGTGCGTAGAAGGGAGAAGAAAGCAAGGCTAGAAACGCCGATCTGTTGATGACTTGGAAGAGCTGCATTGGAAATGCTGAAGCAAAAGGTTTAGGGAGAGTCTCGAAAACAGCAAGAATTATCAAGTCTGGATGCGGTTCTGAACGAGTCCGATCTCAGTAGATGCGAGCGTGGGGGGCGGCTAGGGTGTTTGTACTCCATCTCCAGACATCGCTGCATAATAAGGCCATCCGCTTCTTGCCAAGAGTAAGGCATACTCATGGGACATTTCGTCATGTGTCACACTGCGGCTTATTGCATGTAAGGGCTCAGACCATCTCACCGGCTAATCGGTTGGAACGGAACGTTTCCTTGTCGCTTCCAGTGTCTGAAGCTGTCGCTGGTCGCGTAGATTCGTCGGTTGCAGCTGCTCTTAGCACTGTCGTCATTCGTCCTCTCTTAAAACCCGACTCATGTACGCCCCAAATGACATCGCTGGGTCATAACAACGCACATATTCTTCCTTAGCGTTGCGACGTTGAGGCGGGGTTGGGTGGCACGGTCGTCCCGATCATTGTCTGATTTTGGTAGTGGTGTTTACCAAGACCCGGACGGGGTGCCTCGGGGCGCCTTATGTAGCCCCCACAACCACCACGTGCCTGCTTCGATTAGTCACGGCGGCAGCTAACCTTAACCACTATAAACCACAACACTTTGATCCAACGTCCGCGGTGTATTCCGGGGTAATCTTCTGCGGGTCGTTTTGTGTGGGGATCTCGCTTCAACCATGCGCCTTGTCATTCGTCGATGAGTTTCGGGCGTAAGCCGTATTGCCGGTCGAGCCTTACGAACTCATAGTAAAGAACGAATCTCATATAGAGATTGGCGAGAAGATGACGTCTTGACACATAGTTATGCTAGGTACACGCACGAGGGATAAGCATGTACGCCCGGAAGACAAGCATTTATGCGGTGCTTAAGTTGAAGTCATCCATTGAAGGTTGGTGTGTAAAAGTATCTATGTAATGCTCTGACACAATGGGTTTCCAACAAGTCCGCCCCAGAAGGCTTTCCGTACACGCTTCAGCCACTTCCATAGCAGTTGTACACAACAGTTCCTGTCACGAGCGGTGTTCCAGTGCAGTACCCTTTGCAAATCTGATCGACTCTGTCCCCTTCCTGTTCAGTCAAGTAGCAGTCTTGTTCACATTCAGCGCCTAAACATAGGGTGTCAGCTTGTTTTACCTAAGGGACCGAAGCCGGCAGTTGCTATTACATACCACCCTCGTATGGACCGCCGTTGCTGTCGGCAACATCGCCGTTGACGCAGGAGGGTACATCGTTTTGTCGTTTGACCGAAAGTGCGAGGGAGCTCGTAAGCAGAGTACTGATCAGGGCAAGTGAGAGCTTCATGGTGGCTTGTTGGGGTCGAGTGGTCGATCTTGTCTCGAAAGAAGAAGTGGAGCTGATAGAGAAAGGTGTTGCTGAGCATTGAGTCGGTGGGCGAGGTGGCTTATAACTGTCCCGCGGACTTGGCAATTCGACCTCCATCACAGATTAGTTGCTTTCCACCGGCGCTTCCGGGGGGATGACAAGGCGTATCTGTGTCGCTTTTTCCTACTTTCGTCGTTAGTCCCCGGTTTTCTAGCGATCCTTCAGCTCCCAGGCAGACTACTGTTCTAACCGGTAAGACGACATCACTCAACATTACCATTCGGGAAGGTCTTGATATTTGCGTTCATCAGTGTCTTAGAAGGATGAGATACCCAGGAGGCTACGGCAAATCAAAGGTCGGCCATATCATAGGCAGCATACCTAATGTTCGTACAGGCTGACAAAGTGAACAAGCCGAACCTCCACTTCGCATGGATAAAGTATTGGCAACAGTTGGGGGCCGAGCACATGTTGTCAACGAAGTTCTGATTTGCTATTCGATTTGAGACATGTTACGATGGCATGCCGAAGTTCCGGAGAAATGTCACCATGGCTCCATAGTGTCATGGATAGCAACAAGCACTGCTCAAGCCGAAGAGATATAAAAAGTCCTTCTGTGAACCAAGCACTCATCACCCAAACCGGACTTCTCCCTCTCAGTTAAACGGCTTTGAACAACTATCATATAATCAGCTTTCGCGCAAGTTTCAACATGGCTGCCTCGGTTCTCACAGCCATTGGGCTCGTGGCTGACGCATTGACTACGGTTGGGTTTTTCGAAGCCAACGTCCCAGGATCAGCACCAGAGGGTGCAACTGTCAGAATCAAAGGTACAGCATCACAAGAGAACTAATATCTTCATGGTAGTTGCTGACACACTCTTCACTCCTGCAGCCGGTCTACCCGACCTTGGTAACGACGGAGACAGTCTTGTGAGTGCTACGTCCAAGTATGGACAACATAGAGTCCGCTGCTAACAAGAGGTTAGTCTGGCTCGATCAACAAGGTCTATTCCTTCTCCCAGGTAAACGGATATCAGGGTCAAGCTGATGGCTGTGATATCGGTTCTGGTGGAATTTGCGACCGCACCATTGACGCGGGGGTTGGGGGCCAACGAGCCAAATACGTCAGCATCTCGAACAACGATGACGCGACATGTATTGCCTGGATCACCGTGACGCAATTCGACGGCACTTTTGGTGGTGCATGGACTGGCGATATTGGATCAGTCTGTGGCCAATCCTGGTACGAGAGCGTCGAGGTAGCGGGACGCCTAGACGACGGCGGCGACTACGTTCCCAGGTGCACTTGGATCGATGCAGGTAAATTGCGGCCATGGCACACATGTGATACCTACACTGACTTCGTATCTAGACCATACCAACGATATTGCGGCTGCTTCTCTGAAGTTCGATACCTCCGCGTATGGTGAAAACGTCAACGACACCGCGAGCAGCAACGCAGGATGTACATACACGATCTTTGGCCCAGACAGTGGCCCTATCGCTGGTCAGTCATCCCCTTATACCTACCGCGCAAGGACTTTCTCTAACATTCGTGTTCAGACCAACCTGGCGCCAAGCGTAGTGTCTCTGAGCGCCCCCAGTGGATGACCGAGGCACTTGTCGTGTCCAACATTGCAAGCCACTCAGCGAAGGGACTTTGTGAATCTGCCACGTCTTGGGGACCGGACTTTGTTGACGCACATGGAAACTTCTGCGATATGGGCTCTAAGACTCTCACGCCGCTCTGCTCCTCGCAGGATGTTGATGGGTGTGTAGATGTGGACGAAGACGAGAGCGCTGTCGTGAAGCGCATGAGCGTCGCGAAGCGCACTACCAGCGTCAAGCACAAGTCGTACAAGAAGATTGCCAAGTGGGGATTTTAGATGATGGCCTCTTGGGCAGCCTTATGAGAGGAGGTTTACGTACATTTGCGGAGTTTACACTCAATTACGCTCATTACCAATGACATTTGACTTTTACAATCTATCCCACAAACCTCGCAAGTGACGAGGTCATGTTTTGCCGTCCATGACTTCTTCTTGCACGACTTGCATGACTCTGCGATAGCAACAACGACGTTAACTGTCGCGCAGAAGATATGTGGCTGTATCGTAGCATGTGCTGCCGGGTCGCAGTTTCCAAGGTTGAGTCTCGAGGTCGTCTTGCGTATGATCGCCTGAGTAGCCAAAGTAAACGCAGCCACTCGTCATGAGCGCGAACTAGGTTGCCAAACGTCCATCATGCGGACGAATGCTCTCGGAAATTCTCGATGTCGAGACAAAGAAAAGGATCCCGGGAGCTAGGTAATTAGAGTTGTCGTCTTCCCGCTTGCCGCTGCTTCCGTGCAGGGACTTGTTGCGCTAGCCGCTCGCAGCGGTCACCTGGGCTTCACTCCTGAGGTCGCCTCACGAACTCGAGAAGCATCGGAGGATCGGGAATGAGGCTGGCAGCGGGCAATATTGGGCACAGCCTGGGTGTCGACGAAACCTTAAATTGTTACGCGTATCGTACCCACTATGGTTTCCACGAAGAACCTTGAAATCTTCTATCGCCAATGTCACAATTTGCGTACTCAGGTGCAAGTACCTTGGCTGTCAACTGCCGAAACAAAGAAATACTGTTCTGAACGCCATTTCTTTGGAATCAGTCACTAAGCGATGTTTTTTCGAAGAAGGAAAGTTATGGTGGAAGCGACGTAGACTAGATTGACCTTAGTATCTGGGTATGCAATTCTCTCCTTCAAGGTTCATCACTCGCTCGACGACATCTCTCGTAAATGCAGGAACCGTCAACAGATCACAAAGCCATATCTTTACCGTTGGTTCACCTTACCATGAACTCGCCATATGTCTATTCCGTATTTTCCCAAATCCTAAATAATACAAATAACACCGTCATCATGCATTCACCTTCTATCAACTATCAAAAAACTCCGCTTCTTTGTCCATCAACGCATCCAGCTCATGGTCCTTCAAGCCCACCAAATCCATCTTAAAATGCCAATTATGCCACCCAATCTGGCGCTCATACCTCCCAACATACCCCTTGACCAGCTCCCTCCAAGACTCCTTGCCTACATCTGCTAATCGTTCATCCCTCATATCCACAACCTCCGTTTTCCCCGGCGGCGACCCCTCCACAAACTTCACCCTCTCCACACCCCCAAACGCCTCCCTCATAACCCTGACCACCATAGCAACGTCCGCCTTCGGTATCCCCTCAATATCAATAACAAGTTCCCGCAAATGCAATTCCTTAGCAAGAGCTCTCAACTGACAGCGCCAAAACAGCGGTAAGCCCGTCCCGCCATTCGGCTGCGGCGGCTCTAGGAACTCGAAAATCGCATCGGAGGCTAACCAGCGCACGCAATGAAGCAAAGCATTCTTCCCGAAATGGAAAGCCAAGCGTTTGATGTGGGGACGATAAGTCGGGCCGCATTGCCAGAGGAAGTTTGTCGTTCCGCTGAGGCCGAAATGGAAGGTCGTGCTGCGCATTATGTATGGGCGCATTGTGTCGTGGATGCCGCGCGAGATGCGTAGTAGGGTTGATAAACTGATGGCTCTTTCGGAGGCTCTAGCACAGTTCCTGCGCGCGTCGTTGGTGAGGTCGTAGTCCCGGGTAAGTCCGGCGGCGGTCATGAGGATCATTTCTTGGAGTTCAGTGGGTAGGCGTTGGAATTGGTGGAAGAGTGGCTGGATGGGTACGGTGTCTCGTTTTGAGGGTGGTGGACCGAGTGCTTGTGAGCGGACGCGGAAGACGTAGTCGGCTGTGTTGGCGACGCAGTGGCTACTCCGGCCTGGCAAGCGGGCAGCGAGGTGCCGAAAGTAGAGTCTGTTGAAGTAGTCGCGTGCTGAGAGCCATCCTGAGCCGAAGCGGATGACGAGGTTGTAGTAGCTGTTTGAAGAGCCGGATATGGCTTCTGGTGACGGCCATGCCTCCTCTTTCTTGTCCTCCGCGAGCTTCATCTCGCTGCTGAGTAAATCCATGCTCCTGCTCTTGATATCCCGTCCCAATTCTCTTATCTTGCCGTTTACGCTGTCCTTCTGTGGTCCAAAAAGCTTAATAGCAACTGTCTTCCTATAGTCCGTAAAACTCGAATCCGTCAAAATACAAGTTACACTTCTACCCAATTCGAGGTTTTCGTTGTATTCAGGCTCAGAAGGTAGTAGGCTGAGTTTTCCTTGAAAGAAATTACTCGATTCGTGGCTCAAGTGCCATCGTTTCAGATGTTCCAAGAACGATTTTCGCCGCTGCTCCTGAAACGAGAATTTGCTTGATGGGCTGCGTGGAGATTTAGTTGTCTGCGAGGTAAGAGGAGGTTTAGGGGTCTTGAAATCGGCCGAGGTCAGCGTGGACGGTGCTGGCTCCGTCGTCGGTGTTTTTGGGACACTAGTGTCGCAGGTGATGCTTCCGCGAGTCATAGTTTTGGTAAGTGAACCGTGACGAACAACCACCTAGACCTCAATTGAGCGGTGTGTTGATCTGGTGAGCTGCTGTGGGAGTAGTGAAAGAAACTGTGTCAGATATCTGGTGATAGTTCCAGGTTTGGTTCAAGCTAGTTTGTCGTGTAACGTATTCCCGCCGGTTCCCGTTTTGCAATGTAACAGGGTCTTGATTAGAACGAAGCGCACGTTCAACCACGTAATTTCATAAATGTTTGCTTTTTCTGGTAAAGAGTTCCCTGATAGATACAGGACGAAGGATTGTGATTACGTCGGTTGAGTTGCCTGGCTTTTGGTTTCTGAAAAGGCAAGAGCGCCGGCACTGGCAACAATGGCTCAGCGAACGGACAAAGGTTTGGTAGAACTGTCAGGCGAGAGCAAACCGGCAGGCTGGGGAGTTAAGGCCGTAGCCCATGGACCCTGTGATGCGCACAGGCAAGTTCCAGCACGCCAATATCATTTAGGTGATGCACCTTTGCGTAACCGTGCATGAAAGCGGGCGCGTCTTGGCATATGCAGACTAGTCGCTTGA